ACTTGGGCCATCCAAAAGTATAGGTAGTTTTCGAGTCGAGTCAAGTCTATGGTGTCGCTAAATAATCCGACAACTATTTTAAATCATTGCCTGGTTTTATTGGGTATCAAAAAACCCAACACTAGAAAATGGTCTTTTCGATCTCACGGACTTGAGGCATAAAAAAGAAAATAAGAGATTGAAAATTAATAATAAAATATTAACTAAACTTAACCAAATGCCACCAAGGGCCGGCCAGGACAGAAGCAGTGACAACAAGAGGCAACAGGCTCCGGCTATTTATATATATGTATAGAACTTATAGAAGAACTCTACAAGTTTCAATATAAAAATGTGCTTCAGAGTTAAAAGAGAGCTGACAAAAGAGGAGTTGAAGGCAAAAAAGAAGAAAGAGAAAGAAAAGGAAAGAGAGAAGCAGAGGAAGGACGAGGAGAAGGCAAAAGAAAAGGAGAGAAAGATAAGAGAGGAACTCGATAGAAGGTGAAATAGTTGTGAAGTAAGTTCCGTGTTTTCCCTGATGTGATTGATGTTCCGGTTGCTCCGATCAGTTTTTACCACCTACAACATGAGGTCAAGGCTTTCTCCCCCATTGTACCTCCAGCGTGAGAATTAGTGTTCAGTATTAGAGAATATGGAGAGACTATATTGGAATTCAGATAGTTCGGCTTTTCAAGAAACGCTACCTTTCTCACCTTTGAGGTATTTATAGGCACCTGTTGCTGTGCGTGCGTTTGGTGGTTGCTGGCGCCACGTGTCCCACATAAACCTTCTCATTTCCTTCACATTCTAGAGTTGTGACCCCCACTCGTCAAGCGGTTGATTATGCCCACATTCGCTGTTTGCCATTTATTTGGCTAAGTATGATTTTGGTCGCATGTTGGTAGGTGGCCCTGTGTAAACGTAGAGGGCCTCATGGGGGTCAATGGCCTCCTAGTGACAGATGGCCTATGTGAGCGTAGTGGGCCTCAGGGGGGTCGACGTCTTGGGGAGGTGCACATTAAGTAGCCGACCATCGTGGAGAATTGTCAACACCGTCTTATATCAGAAGGGAAATCGAAGAGAAGAAAAGAAAGAGATACGAGATGGAAAAGGAGAAGCAAAACCGAGCCAAGGAAGAAATGAAAATGCATGCAGAGAAAGGGAAGCAAGGAGAAAGAAAAGAAATTAAGAGATAAAAACAAGACCAAGTGCAGAAAATAAATAATCAGAGGAAGGAATTAATATTATGTCTCTCATTTTTGCAGGCATAGATTCTGTCTCCAGCTTCATTAAATACAATTAATTCTATTGCTGTCATATCATTTATTTCACTTCATTTCATTGCCTTGTGCAATCTAATGTCGTTATCAATAATCTATATGTTCTGCACCGTCAAGTCTCCAAGCACAAAAAGACAGGAGAATATTTGCATTTTTCTACAACTATAACAATATCATCTAGTTTCAACAAGTAAACAGGCAGCCTAAAAAAGAGGAACTAGAACAAGAATTGAATTTATATTTTGAAAACATGCAGCTATGATATCACAACAATGATAAATGGAAAAAATGGGTGTTGGTAACAGATTATTAAGTGAAAAATGAAATAATACATGGGATTTATGCAGGAACCTCGTTTCATGGAGCCTGCTAAAATTGTCGCATTTCTGAGAAGACTACACTATACATTATGCTCAAGACTACTATTTACAATTCTAAGACTCATCAGCACAGCTTCTTCAAATCCTTTAACAGTGAAGAGAGCAAGATCACAAGTTTATCATGTGTGTCAGTGAATGAAACATGAAATAATTTGAAGACGACACAAAATTGTGTACGAAGAGGAGATGAGCCGACTGTGGGCCCCTGTGTGCTGGCAGTCTGCAAGCAGCTTCAATCAAGTACCCGTTTTAGTTCATCTATCAATTGCTCTCTAATTGATGGATCCACCTGAAGTTTGTTCCAGTTTAACTAAAATCATTAGAATGAAACGGGGGAAAGAAAATAAAAGGGAAAATCATAATTTCAGAGCAAGAGACAGACGCTTTACCCTTTTCAGCAAGGCAGAAAGACCTTGAGGTAGTGCTCGCAAATCCATTGTTGAATCACCAATGCTTGACAATTGAAGCATTATCTTTTGCACATGCAACTCTTGTAGATTTTCCTCGTAGTTTCTGGAATCATCCTTCCATGAAAAGAAAGTCTCATCATCCATCCAAGAATTTTCTTTTCCCCTAGCTATCTCTCTCAGGTTTTTGGTAAAGAATTAGTTCTCCCTAGCAGATTTATATGCAAGCTGGTAACCAGCAGCATCTCTCACAGTTGTGATCAACGAGTCTTCAACAACTCTTCTGTGTAATCTCTTGTAGAAGAAAGACCGAGAATTTGACCACTCTACAACTTCTCGGACCACCCCTTTCGCAGCCATTCTGAATGAAGTATCATGCAATTCTGCAAATTTAGTAGCTATTTGAGTGTACAATGGCAGAAGTTGCTTCTCACGAGATTTTATTTGTCTCTGCAAATCCTCAACAATTGCAAGTGTTGCTGTGCTTTTTGCTTTATGAAGTTCAGCCTTCAGATTAATTAGCTGTTGGTCGAGCCTACCCATGCATTCTAGCAGCTCTCTAGTTCGAAACTTAATCTCGATCATACCTTCTGGCTCAAGGACATTTCCTTTAGCTGTCCGTTCAGCATACATTTCAATGTGGTCTGAATTGATCTTACTGTCTACAACTACCCATGCTCCACCTCGGAGTTCGCCCATCATAGGTATGTATATAAAAACAGGCTGTTTATATGTTCTAAGGTTCTCAACAATAGTTGATCCAGCCTGGAGGATACCTTCAAAAAGGTCCCTTTGTCCACCTGAAAAACCTCTCCAGTTGGCAAGAATGAAGAGTGGCAGCTCTTCTCTATTGAAGTCCATCAATGCTTGGGCAGTCTTGGTTGCAGAATCAGGAAACCATACCTGCCCAGCCTGAGGAACGACCCTTTCATGAGAATCTAGCTGCCCAGGATCTGCAGGGATTACTTGCATCATAGTTTGAGTCTCAACAGCAACAATTCCTACAGGTATTCCTCCAAGCTTTGCACGTCCTGTTACAACAGTTCTTGCCCAGCCTTCCAGTGTCTCAATAAAACTGTCCTGATCGAACATACCCCCAAGCCATTTCCCACTACCATCCATTGCACCACAGATAGCTGCACGGGGATCACACGAGGTCTCCGGTAGGTATTCAACAGGTCTCTCAGGAGAATCCAAGGGAGACAAAATGGGAAGTGGACCACCAGCATACGATGGTACAAAGCTTAGCCATTTCAAAATAGCTGATATCCCCTCAAGATCATCTGATACTGTAAGATGAACTACTCCATTTGTTGCCATAATTTTAGGTCCACCAAGTTGCATGTGGGAGCTGTACACCTCCCTACCCAGAAGCTTGTTCAGTGCAGAGAAACCAGTCAGAATAATTGGCTGATCAAGCCTTTGTAACGTGGCGTATGGTTCTGCCCGTTCATAAGCACCAATGCCAACAGTTCTACCAGTCACATAGGTCAAGGTAAAGGTTTCCTTGTATGCCTTTGAATATGCACTGGCAATGGCTCCACTACCACTTAAGTTTTCAACTCCCAAGCCATCTTCCTTTCCTACAATAGTATCTATTAGCCATCGGGATTCTCCATTTGAGAGCTTTAGTTCGTGTGCTATCACAGATGATCCAATGCATGCATAGTCCTCAGGAGTTAAGTAAACATATTGGAAACCACACTCAGGGTTTGATTCATCAGACCAGCCAACTTTAAAGCAAGATTTCACTTCATCGGCTACACCAATACGGGCTCCTGAATTTGCTGCCAGATAAATAAGAGGTAGTTTCTGAGTGCAAGCAACATCAGCTACTGCCTGGAAAAATGCATCCTCTTTGGGTCCAAAAGAACCATTTTTGAATGTTACATCATTTGACACAATAAGAATGGTTCTTCCAGAAGGGAACTCAGGTGTAGACATTTCCATGCGCCAGGCTACCATGCCAAAATCATTAAGTCCAGGCTGTCTCTCAATAGAAACAAGAGGAGTACCCCAGTTACCTTTCTGGTCAGAAAATACCAATTCTGCGACTCTAAGGTTGGCTTTATCCTTGGGGGTCTTGACTCCAGAGTACTGGGACCATGAATTGTCCAAAGCTGCCTCAAATGCCTGCAAAGAAAGCTCTCTCTAATTAAATACACATAGATTGATCACAATATCTGTAGCATATATTAAAAGGATTACGGCCATTTACCAGTGGGAAATCGTAGCAATAAGTTGTGTTGCTTTTCCAGGCTAAAAGACGTTTCTGGTCAAGAATTCCCAAAGGCTTATACTGTGCATTCACAGGCAAATCATGCAAGGGGCCCTGACCAGATGTTGAATGGTAGACTACTCTTTGTTTGCTGGTATCATCTTCTCGGTAAATCTGAAAGGTGAATATAAAATTAAACCTATCTCTGTACTTATTCACAGTTTTAATCAACTAGTTTATCAGTACGAAAGTTTCTACTATTGTGGGACAGCACTAATTGATAAAATACTAACATCATAGTGCTGCAATGAATAACTAACAGACCAAACAATATATTCATTGAAATAGATTGTGAAATATTTCTACTTATTATTTCCGGCCACATAGAGCAGCAGAACAGATTAACATATGCCTTTAATGATGCAAAGCCCAGTCTGTCTTACATGAACTATACAAGTGTGCCCAGTCACATTAGAAACCACAATCCTCCAAGCTCCATTAGATTCTCCTTCAGATGATATCCAAAGCTTCACTTCCCACTCACAAACACCAAGACGATGCAATTTTACACCAACTGATGCATTAATTTCCCGTGCCAGCTCACTCAAGAGTTCCTCAACTGTGGCTTCTTCATGCCCATCAGGTATATCTGCTCTCCTGCAAATGATGTTGTGAACTTGATAAGGCTGTAAGTTGATATGCTGAGTAGCAGAACAAAATATCAAATATTCTTACTTGTTGTACGGTAGAAGATCATCTATTTGTTGCTCCCGCAAGATATAGAGGTACATTTGAGCATGGTCAGATTTCATAGTAGAATTATGGGCATTTAGTTCAAGCTCCTCCATTGCAGACATTAAGGACCTTAAAATGCTCCTTGAAGTAAAAGAGAGAGACCACAGAGATTGAGTTGCTCCCTGGTCCAGTCCTTGATATATTGGCAGACCTTCATTTGATAGGGGCTGCCTTACAAGCGTTCTGAGAAACATCCTTTGAATGGAAAGTGGTTTGTCTAGAACAGTGTAAAGGTGCCACTGTCGATCTCGAGAAGGAGTATACCGTACATCATTATAACCTTTAAGTTTCTCCTGTTCAAAGTAAAATTATGGATATATAGCCAGGCCATATCAAAATAAGATAACTTTTATATTACAACCAAAAAAGATCGAATGATCAACAAACCAGCTCAAGGTATGTGGACAAAGGAGGCTCCAGGTGACGCAATAGAGGCTCCTCCTCATGGTAGAGTTTCTCTGCTGACCAATGAAAGGAATGCCTCATAGGGCCTCGCCCCTCATCTCTCTGTATGATGCAGCTGACAACACCCACACCTGCATTTTTGAGACTGGAGCTTACTTCTTTCTCTTTCAATATTTTGGCTAACTTGTTTACTCGCTCTTGAGCCTGATCTTCATCACCACTGCAAATAGACATAGTATAATACTAAGCATCAGAAAGGAAAACACTTGAGTCATTTTGTTAACCTATTACCAAGTATAAGAAAACAATAAGTTTAAATTAATAGATCATGCATCTGACAGAAACTTGGCCAATGCCAAAGAAAGGGATATGCAAACTGATCTCGGCTACAGTTTGCCTTGGGGTAGAGATGCAAGAACATAATTAGATATTCTGATACCTCTGAAGCAAGGGATTCAAATACTGACAATTTTCATAAACTGTGATAAAGTATGGGTCAAGTAAACTCTCAAAACAATTTTAGTTAGATTAAATTACGAAATATTTTAATGTTCAAGGAATATGTGTAACAGTGTAAGAACAGGAAGGGAAATACACTGGGGCCTCACAATTGACACAAACAGAAAATAATTTTTTTTTTGCAATCTAGTATAGAAAGACTTCTTGGCACATGATACCTGTCCTGAAGTAAACTCATTTGATTGTTGATGCCTGCCAATGCAATGTGCATCATGTTACCATAACTAGCTGGCTGAACAGATCCATTGGCAATTACAGTTTGCAGGCTATGCATTATTTCCCTCAATGCAGCAGTTAACACTGTTGGCAAAGATTGGAGAGATTTGATGACAACCATTGCTCCCCACTTCCTCTCACTGTGTTTATCAACAGATGGCTCATCCAAGATTCGATCCCCAAACCCAATCTTTCCATCAACATGCCCTTCCAAGAACTCCCATGATGCTATAAGTCCAAATCTGTGCCATTGCATCCTGACATTCCCATTTACAAGGTAGGGCTGATAACAGATATTAAATATCAGACAAGAAATGTCCAAGAGTTTGATCAGCGTATTGCCATATTTCTTTGAACAATATTACCTGATATAATCTGCGAACATAAGTCTCAACAACCCGTCGCTGAAGTGTGTGATCACTATGATCAAAAAGACCAACAAGTGCATCTTCAACTGCTAAAGGAGCACTGACAAGGGCTTCCATTCGTTCATTTATGGCACTTTTTCTTTTGGGAGTATCCATGTTTTCACCATCTTCAGTGAACATTTCTAACTCCGAAAGACTCCTGGCAATACTGGAACGAAGCTCACTAAGTTTTGTCTGTTCTAGAAGTTGACTTGCCTTCAATGCTAACTGTACAAGTAGAAAGTGAATCAGACTTTTTTGTACCATTAGATATATAAGAACATAAACTAGAAGTCTAGAACTCAATGATTAAAGAGTAATAGAAGTTAGGAGGTTAAATATAACCAAACCCTTCGATTGAAACTTCAAATATTCAAAATAATATTGATAACATAACATCAAACAAAGACAAAGATATGTGCAAGAGAATAGTAACTAAGTGGAATTGCCAACCTCAGAGTAGTTTGTGTGATTGAGTGCAGAAAAGCGAATTAGTTGATCTCGGTATGCAGCAGGATTAGGATACACTAGCTGCTCCATGAGACATAGTATCAACTTATTTTTACTCCTAATGCCCTGGAAAAATTTCATGGTACATAAGAAAAATGCCTTGTTAGCAGCAAACATAATAAGAGCAAATCAGGTGTCACATGACTAATGGGCTATACCTGATGGGAAAGCACAATATCAACAACCTTCGAAAGATCTTTCTTGTAATGAAGTCTTAAGCGTTCAATTACGTCTGCCTGAAAAGAGAGAGACATTGTGACGGCATATTAAACATATATCAAAATTTTTACAGGATCTTATTCCTGGTGCCTTCATCATGATATTCCTTTATCATTCTGCTTCCAGGACAAGATAACACTATTTAAGAGGCAGGATTATCAATAGATATTAACTGGCATGTGTAGGTAACTGTACAATTTGAGTATGACATCACAGAGCAAATAGAAGAAATTAGACAAATAAATGACCAACCATTTAAATTGGTCAAAATGTGCAAGAAGGTGCACAGGATATACTGACTAGACAATCGCCAGATAGATAACACTAACTCATGATTAGTATTTGCAGTGGCAATCACCTGGATATTGTCACTAAATAATTCTTCAACCGATAAATATTCTTCGAAAAGCCCTTGAACTATAATGCGGGCATGGCTCTCTCTGCCACCCTCATACGACTTGACCAGACTCATCAGAGGCTCAACTAATCGATCTTGGGCTCCTTTTTCCTTATCAGGGTAGGAATTAAGATGGGTCTGAAGCAGTAAAGGAAGCATTAATCCGTCACAAGATGTGATTCACTTTCAATAAAGACAAGGAACTGTAAAGATAGATGACACAAGACAAAAGGACAAACCTCAAGAACACCCCGCAAAATTTTCGCAGGGAAGTCAACAGTTGGCATATTGGAGATTCCTTCACACTCCTTATATTTTGCTTCCAACTGAAAGTTTACATAAACCAAAAGTAATTGATATTTCAGATGAACAATAAACTACCATTTTTCTGAAGAAATAAGACTGTAGCATCTTTGCTGGAATAACCTCATATCTAAGGTTCTTGGGTAGTCGGTTTGCCAGGACAGCAAAGCATTCTTGCCACTGAAGAAAGGGGAGCTCAGGATTGTCCAGGCAACTCAGCAAGTTTTGAACTACCTAAATGGAGATCAATTTAATGAAAGAATTGTGTTAAATTGCATTCAAAATATTCTGTGTACATGGCCAAGCATTATTGTATTAATGACATAGGTTCTTCAGAAGTCAGTAAATTTCCTTTGGAGATATATAGCTGCCAAAGAAGACACCTACTTCATCAATGTTATGCTCGTATCCGGCCAAAATCATCCGAGCTGTATTCACACTTGCAGCACACCGTTGATGAACTTTTCCAGATATGGCAGTTGGAGGTCCCAAAAGAGGAAAGCTTCCATGAAAAGGTTCTGCTTTTCTTACTGCTGAGGGATCATCTAAGTCAAGTCTTGCTATAAGATTACCAGCCTGAAGAGTCATTCATTTCTTAATTTCTGCAGAGGATAGGAACAATGATACTTTGTAATAATAAACAATAATGCATACCTGCATCGCTTGCCCTTCAGACATCTGAAAATGAATATTTCCCGAAGAAGGTGAGAGAAGGGGCATACACATTTTCATGACCTCAACCTCCGCATAAGGTGTGTCAGCATCTACATGGCAGCCATCTACTACCAGATACCTTAGAAGCTTGCATGGTGTTTCTGCCACTAACTTGGATGGATCATGGTCATTCTGAATACAAAGAGAAAGACTAAGTCTCTACTGACAAAACTTAATTTAAATTGGAAAAAAATATGAAAATATTTGGCACCTGAAGTAAGCAAGTCCTTCCATCAATAAGAAGGCGTGTTCCAGCAGCTTCCTCCTCTGCATATATAACATGACTGTTGCCATTCAGCTGCAAAAGTAAATCAGCCAAGCCAAGTGATAGAAGAATCACCATCCATTTATCCATGCATCAACGAAGTAGCAGAAAAAAATATATATTAAGCAATTTCTAATAAGGATTAGGCAGAATAACTGCTTGCCTGCATCAATAGACCTCCATCTCGTAGAGTATGTATTTCTGCTTCAATCTCTGAGTCATTCATCCTCAGTCTGTAGCTTCCAGGACCTCCCCCTACCATATTAATCTAAATAAGCCCAAAATATTAGAAAATTATTAAAACCAATCTGTCACAGCCCTAACATTCTTCTACCACTTGAACCAAGATCCAGAGGCAGAAACATATACAGTTAAATGGTTTTTGCATGTAAACACTTACTGTATATTTGCTTCCTTCAATATTTAGTGAAACTTGAGAATTGACCAGCGAAATATGCTGCAAGTAGGGTATCCATTATTAATAATTATAAAAAGGAAGAACTGAAACCATTTCCAAGTCTAATCTTGTGTGCTAAATACCTTGGGAGGAATCTGCCCTTTTTCAAGATAACCGATGTATTCTGAAACCATGGCTGCACTAGTAGCAGAAGCTTTCTGTGTTCATAATTATGGAAAAACACAATTATATGAAAGTATAAAGTGTGGAGAAACTTTTTTACAAAATAAAGATGTCAGACACCTTAGACTTGAAAATTAGCATACTCACATAAAGTGCTCCTCCAACAACCGAAAGATGCCAAGGGGGCCTTTCTGCTCTGACTCTCATCGCAATTCTGCTGTCTAACCACCCTGTATGTATTTTATTTTCCTTGTAATCTGAAGCCTGCAAAAACATTGTTTTATATGTCAACTTCTAATAGTGTGAACCATGTTACAATCAATGGGGTGAAATAGGATTTTGATATCTGAAAATCTCACATGTAAAAGATCAATTGTGTAATCAACATTTGTTCGAATTTCTCCTCTTATCTGAATTTCTTTCAGCCCAAGAACCATATTTGCAATGGCCAAAGCTCTAGATTCTCCAAAAGCAAATATATGGCCTGAGGTAAGATTCAAGAATTTATGGATTGCTGAAAATGAGTTTGCACATGGACTGTCCATTATTCAAATAAAAATATGTATGGAGAGCTTCAAATAGTTTCCATGGCACATAAGCCATTCAAGTGTCAAACTGACAACCTACTCAGAACTCTGATAAACAGAGCTCAGTCTAACATATGCACATGCATCTTTAAAGCAGAAAAAAGTAAGTAAAAAAGTACAGAAGGTGAGACAGCAAAACCAGAAGTAATGAAGCATGGATATGGACAAGGGACACAGGGATGCAGACACACAATTTTTTCAAAAGGGACACATGAATCAAAATACTATATAATTCTACATTTACTCATCGTATCATTATAATACTTTTTTTTTCCTTAAATTAATATTCAATTAGCTTTGATTTATTTAATTTTAAAAATGAAATCTTTTGATTTGAGGAATGACTATTTGTCATATTATCATAACTTTGTTGTTGTACTTTGTACTGCTGGTCACAATGAAATTAAAAAAAAATTCTATAAAAATGCATAAAATAGATATAAAATATATTTGACGTGAAGTTCATATAAAAATGTGTTACCGAACTTCAACCTACCAAATTGGGAATCTGAAAACTCATGAATACCACCTCCAGACTGCAATTGTGAGGATTTTAGTCAGATCCAACTGCGTATATAGAGGTTCAGCAAATAAATTTATGACAAGTACCTTGACAGAAAAGTATGCCCAAACATTTGGCTTGCTTTTAAAACTCAGTTCCTGTACAAAGCTATTTCACTTAATACCTGATCATCATGAGAAAGAAAGCTATAAAACTGAACTTTGACTGATCAAACTGAAAATCCTGACCTGTACTTTCCCACTTGTAGGCTTAAAACCATCATCAGGATCCTCACTTGTTACACGAACAGCTACACAGTGACCTTTTGGCCTTGTGGATTCGGCAGTGTCAAAGTCAAATGGATTAGCAACAACAGATGTTTTCCTCCAAGCATCGTATCCTCCACCATGTTCCATTCCATAAAATCGCCTTATCTCTAATTTAGTAAGCACAAAGAAGAATGTGATTAACAAAGATAAATAACAGAATATAGTTCTAATATCACGAACTTTGAACCAGACCTGGAATTTGCCAGAGAGGGATACCCATCCCAACTGCAGCTTGGGCTGCAGGCAAATTTATTTCAGCTATCCACTCAGTAACAGGGTGCTCCACCTAAATTATTCAAGAACATAAGAATGAGTCAATGAAACAAAGTAACGTCGAATCCTTATTCTACCTTAAGAAAATCCAAAACACATGGTTCCAGTAATCTTAACCACATAACTTTCACATCTGTAACTCGTTGTACTACTTATAAGATTCCTTGTATTCATACAAAGACAAATTTGAATCTAGGATGGTTTCCCATGCTTATCACACATTGGCCTTGATGTTCTATTTAAAAAGAAAATCTTACAAACCTGTAAACGTGGGTTTAGCTCCAAGAAGTAATACTCCCCAGTTTCCATACTGTATAGATACTCAACAGTTGCGGCTCCAACATAATTCACACATTTGGCCAATCTTCTAGCGGCCTGCTCAAGCTTCTTTACTGTATCGAAGGGAGCCACTGTAACAGGTCCCTCTTCAATAATCTAAATAATTTGAATCTCAAGTGAGAAGTTTGAGGAATGAGGTTTTACAAAAAAATATATATATATATATATCAGATTTTGCATCAAAGCAAAATATTTCTATCGTTACAATGACACTTGAAACATGAGCAAAAGAAAATGGCAGTTTAGGACACCCCTAAGTCACAAATTGCTGGGGGATGCTGGCTCATACTAGAAGCAGAGTTTAAACAAACCTTTTGGTGTCGCCTCTGAACACTGCAGTCACGGCTATGCAAAGCTGCAACATTTCCATATTGATCACAAAGCAACTGAACTTCTAAATGTCGGCTCTGAGAAACCAAAACATATCTACATTAGAATAAGATCTCATCCTTGCACTCGTTAGAGCATCTAGGTCAGAAGAGAAAGTGAACAATCTAACCTGAGAAGCAACCTTCATTATAAATATGGGGGACCCAGGAACTTCACCCTGAACTTGCTTAAACAAAGCCTTGACTTCATCATCGTTATGGACCTGAAAAGTTCACATTGCAATCAATGTTATTCACACTGATACAAACAAAGTCATAAGGGTAACCACATTTGTAAACATGGAAAGTCAAATTTACTATCAGCAACAAGTGACAATACATTCACAGTTTGCATTAGGCACTCAAAAATTGATTTAGAAATATCACAAGAATTAAACCTTTCTTATGCCTTTGCCGCCGCCGCCCCAAGATGCCTTAATCATTGCAGGATAACCCACAACTTGACAACTAGCTATGGCCTCTTCAGTCGTGTGAACACATGCTTCACGATATGTGTCCTCTGGGATAGTGACCAAACGGCTCTCTGAGGGAATTTTCACCTAAGATTGGCATGTTTATTAGATGCAAGACGACCTTCGCAAATTAACAAGTCACTGCATTATGAGCAGAAACACTTTACATGAGAACCACTCCATGGAAGAGTAGGCACTTCTGCAGCTTGTGCAATCAACGAGGAGCCAATTTTATCTCCCAGTGCTGCCATTGATGCAGCTGGTGGCCCCAGAAATGCAATTCCTTTTGCACTCAATGCATCTGGTAGCTCTGGATTCTCAGATGCATGACCCCAACCAGGCCACACCGCATCGACACGCGTTATCTCTGCCATCTGAACAACCAAAAATTACATAGTTTTTGTTTTCAGTTTTGTGTGCAAATGTCATTGATGTTGTGTTCCTTTTCATATCCAAATATGTTTTGAACTAGTATGCCGACCTTGATAAAATTGAAAATCAACCCCTCACAACCCCCTAGAAATTATAAATGGAAAATGGAAAAAATAGAGAGAGGGGAAAGTAGGGAGAATTGAGCCAGAATAGTATTACTTGTAATTTCCAAACCTATGCCAATTTACCTTAAATATACTTTTTGGCTTTTTACCACTTCACTCAGCAATTTTTATCTGCATATAGTTCAAGTCTTAAGAATTATAGGGCATTGGTATCTCTTTCCAGATATTCAACATCATTTGACTGTATTGCTTATCTTTGATGACACAAATAAATTCACAAATTAGAAAGAAAAGTAAAAATATATGAAAGTAACTATGTCGACAAACCTCAATAATGAGCTGCACATTAGCATAGTTATTATTATTAGTACCACCAGGAACCTCCACAAATTGATCTGCTATCCTAATATGCTCTGCATTTATTCTCATGTCCTCTGGAGTAGCCATTGCCACCAATGAAATTGCCTTCTCTGTACCAAACGTTTCATAGGCCCACGTTCTAATGCTACGTATAAACTTGACAGCTGCCATTCCATTGTTTGCAATCAAGATACTATGAATTGGCTTCTTGCCTCCAAGAGCATGACAGAACTCATCCACTTCAGCTACCATACTTGGAGACCTCAGTGGAATAGATCCATTTATGTACCCATTACTATGCTTAACGCCTACGGTCATCGGCCTCCTTTGAGCCTCTGACATGTTGGAGTTCCTGAAAATGATCAATAAAACGACTCCAATGTTTAGTATAGATTCTTAAAAATAACTGTCTCACAAAACTCAACTATCCATCGACTACTATATTAAAGAATGTAGTATTAAAACGATCTCTTTTAAAAGCGCATATCATTAAAATAGAAGATTCACTCAACTAAACTATGATCACGAATTAAACCATTATTATAAAGCTTAAAAAAGGGATCTTTAAATGGGAACATAGCTCTGCCAAAGTAAACTTTTGCTAAGCGTTAGGGATGCAATGATTCGCTCCACTCCTTAAAAGTCAATGACCGCATAGAGAACGACTATATCCATTGACTCCCCATTCATTAGAAACCAACAAAAGATACTGAGTAAATGCAACTCTAATCATAAGTAACCAAGAAAATACTCACTGCACTAAAAATCAAATACACACGAAACCGAACAAATTCTCACTGGAATCATGCAAACAGGCATTAATGAAAAAAACAAAATAATCAGAGAAAGAAAACGGAATTCCATTGGCGCAAAATACCCACCGAAAAACAATAATTTCTTCTCCAATCTGATTGGCTTTTTCTTGAGCACTATCTGAGNTGATTGGCTTTTTCTTGAGCACTATCTGAGATGAAGAATTGGAGGCAAATATTCAACAGAGATTGAAATTCAATGTAAATGTACAAATCTGATATTTGCTTTGTTTGTTACTATTAGTAGTAGAAATGTACGAGTGTGTGTGAGAAATGAAATTTGTGTTTGGTTTTGGTAATGGTTTGGTTGAGATTGGTTGGGGGTTTTTAAATATTAGCGGGCCTTTAATGCCAGCCAACCAGCACGTGGTGTCCCGTGCCAACCGATATGGTACTGCGGTAGCACTACCTCCCATCTACCTATTTAGTAAATATACAAGAAAAAAAAAAGGTTGACCCCAAGCTTGAGGATCCCCCCTAGAGCATTGTGAATGAAGTAAATCGCGGGATGTGTTTAGCGGGTCAGGGTACAAGAGTTGTCGTACTGGTGTCCACAAAGAGTCCAATTTCATACCTTATAAGAGGCAAGAATCGAATCATCACACTGCAACTATCAGTTCAACTGAGACTAAAATAATTTTGCACGTGTACTCATAATTTTTTAAAAAATTTTAATGAAATGATTTTCAAAAATTATATTTAAAAAAAATACACACACGCGCTTTAAATGAAGTTTTCTTTTCGTAAGTTTGAGTCTTGTAATAATTTAATTATAACTCTAATGAAATTAAATTTAGAGTGCACATAAAAAAAATGTGCTTGAGAGATTTTAGATAAGTCGGTTCAATGTTGTAGATATAAATTGATTAGTAGATATCGAATATTCTAATTTTTGTATGATGATCTAAGTATCTAACAATAAAATGTTCTTCGTTGTAGTTCTTATTATGTTTGGAATAAATAAATAAAGAAGAATTGGTGCATCCCTCTCAAGTTCATTTTATATAAGGAGATGTTTGGCAATCCCAATCAGCAATTTTGCGTGTGTTGACCAAGAGTTTGTTTAGTGCAGTCGACCAACCTGTTTCTTACACATAGAACGTGTGGCGTATCTTGTACAATTTACATTACCAATCTTGCTACTGTAACAGGGATTATTGACAGGATTTGGTGACAAACAACACTTGTCACCAAATCATTGGAAGATGGATTTTTTAAACAAAAAACAGGCGAATAAAAACTCGCCACGTCAGTGTTGTCTCCAAACCCTGGAAGCAATCCCTGTCAGAGTAGCTTTATTCTTTACATTAATATTTGTTGATGACAAATTTGAGTGCTGTCTTGTCATCACTATTCCGTTCAATTGAGTATGGTAATTCTTAAGAAAATGGGTAAAGTCACTTCGATAGAAAAATGTTAACAGACGTTTTGACAAAATGAATGTTGACAAGATATGATTGAGTGAAAAGTGACTGCGTTTTGCACAGTAATAATATGATGAAAATATGCTCTACTAACAACATTATTTACATAAAGGAGTATAATACCTTGTTCGATAATTTTTTTTGAAATTATAAGTCGATAATTTCACAAAAAATTATGATTAAAATGTGAATATAAATTTGTGGTTGCTATGAAATGTACGAGTTGTACAACTTAGGCTATGTTTATTTTTAGTGAGAATAAGTTTTGAAATAGTGACTTTTTAAATATTGCATTGTAAAACGTAGAATTTTTTTTTTTTTTTGTTTACTTGTTATATTATTTTATGGAGAGAATGTTCCGTTAAAAACAAATTTTAAGATTTAAAAAAATTAGATAATGGAACTTAATAATTTTGACAAGAAATAGAGACAAGACATTATTAGGGTCAACAATTCAAAAATTGATGGGGGAGGTGACTGACTTTAATGTGCACAATGGACGTTTAGTTATGTTTAGAAGTTAGGTGCATCCATGCATTACTCACCTCTTGCATCACTCTTTCAATTTCAATTTTTTTTTTTTTTTTTATGGCACAACCTTTCTAATTTTCTTTAATTTCAGTAGTATTTAGTGCTCATTTGGTAAAGATTAAAATTCAATTAAAATTGAAAATATAGCCGTTATTGGGTCACACTCGTCTAATAAAAGTTAACAATAATGACTAGTTTTTCAATTTTAATCCGATTTTAATTTCTACCGAACACGCTCTTAGTTTCGTTCTTATCTCTTCTATATTGAAAGTATTTCAACTTTGTAGACTACAACAAATTGGGACTAAATTAAAAATAAAATAAAATTGACTATTTAAATTGGAATTTAGTAATAATTTGATAGATTCTAGATAATAAAGTGGGCACGTATTTCCCATACTATATCATTTATGTATGTCGTTTATGGTTCGAATGGTGAAATCATACAGCTAGCCATTGTTTTAATTGTTGACAATTGAGGCCCAAAATTGATGGGGCTCCATTTATGTCCCATTGTGATGATTTAGACCCTTTTGGCCCATTTCCTTTATTCCTCAGAGAGGCCAAGGGAAAAAAGGAGGAGAACAAGAAAATAAGTAAGTTTATACAAGCAATTTTTAAACTATATCAAACAAGTTCTGTATATAAGATATAAATTTATATTTTTAGTTTTCGAAGGTTTAAATTAAATAATTGTTTGGAGACATTTGTTTTCACATCTGACATTCTTCGTCTTTTTTAGTGTAGATCCACTCCGGTATGTATAGAATGAAAACTTCATTCTTGATTCTACGATAATTTATATGATTTATTTGCTTCTCTTCGATAGATCTACTCATATGTTTGTTTCCAAAAATTTCGAGAAATGGAAAATGTGAAAAGTAAATTCAAAAACATAAAAAATTATTTATTCACGAGTAAGATTAGAAATTTGACTTTGTTTTCTTTTTCTTTTCGCCAAAACATTTATCAACTTTATTCATTTTCTTGGTAGACAATGTGTGTGTGTGTTTTTTTTTTTTAAGATAAATGGATAATATTTGTGAATTCATATAAACGTGTTGTTAGAAGCAAAGTTTGACTCATTTATAATTTGCCAAACGGATGCTATGGCAATTTCAATGGACGGTTTTGAACCAAATATAGAGCCAAAAAATGTACTCCATCCGTCCCAATTATATAGGCTTGTTTCATTTTTCACACGGATTAAGAAAACTTCTTTAATTTCATTGAAAAATTAATTTTTGTCAAGATTTTTCTTAATTTACCCTTATTTAATTTTCAATATGTAAAACTAAATTATTGTTGGAATTAATAAAGAATTTGAAGAAAAAGAAGAAATGAGAGTTGTTCCATATTTCCAAGAAGTGAGAAATGTGTGTATTTGAATTATTTCAAGAAGTTGGCATATTAAGTGGGAAAAATTCCCAATTATCTAGGCTTATTTCGTTTTTCACACGGATTAAGAAAACTTCTTTAATGTCATTGGAAAATTAATTTTTGTCAAGATCTTTCCTAGTTTACCCCTATTTAATTTTCAGTATGTAAAACTAAATTATTGTTAGAACTAATAAAAAATTTGAAAAAAAAAAAAGAAATGATAGTTGTTCCATGTTTCCAAGACGTAAGAAATGTATGTATTTGGATAATTTCAAGAAATTGTCATATTAAATGAAGAAAATTTAATAAGGGTATATTGGTAAATGAACACAACAAGATATTTTACATTAGGAAACAAGCCTATATATTTGGGACAAGAGAAAAAGAAAACTCAGCTTATATAATTGAGACGGAAGGAGTATGTAAATGGTAGTTGGACGGAAGTTTGTTAATTAATTATGACATAAAAATTGTGGGACCCATATTAAAAATCCTCAAAAAATAATGCTAATTAAATCCAACAATATTCTTAGAAATAACAAAAAATTAAGGTTTCCAAGAATCTAAGGGAAATACTAGAATAAAAAAATTTTACTGAAAAAAAAAAATCACAAAGTGCTAAGTACTAAATCTTAGACCAAGATATTAAGGAATGAAATCGAGAGAGCCGCGAAAAAAAGGGTTGATAATATGGTAGCACATATATTATAACCTCCGGAGCTTGCTGCTACCGGACTTGGTGCTCCAACAGGGACGAAGTGGGCTACCGGTGCTGGAGTCTCGGTGGTTGGTGTCGGAGCGGTAGAGGGATTTGGGGATGTTGGATTTGGAGCATTAGCTGATGGAGGATTTACTGCAAAATTTGGATGATCATCCCAATATAAAAATCAACAGATGTCTCATCATCTAAAATCTTACATAACTAACTGTGATCAATGCTACATTTACTAAAAATGGTTGACAAACACTTTGATCGAACACTCAAAATAGGGAGAGGGCCCACATTTTTTTTGAGATTTTTTATTCAACGGGGCCCTCATGCATGTGAGAGATTATCAAACTCGTTGTCATCCATTTTCGGTACAAATGATAAAACCCTAACTATTGTGTATCATTAAATCTTGTATTCAACAAGTAACTAAAAAAAAATGTTCCATGCATTTCAATATTTTCTCTAAACATAATTAGTCTATCTAGACCATGAACCAAAACTCTCGTCGTCGTCGTCGTCGTCGTCATTATTTTATTTTATTTGAATTATTACGACCTTTTTTGTGCAGTCTTTTATTCTAAGATTCGCTATTAATCAATTTTTTTCCGTAGTAACTAATAATTATATGCTACTAATAAATGTAATCACGTACCAGGAGATGTTCCGGGAGACATACTAGGAGAAGTGGAGACTGCATGAAAGGAAAGGAAAAAACACTATCAATATTTTTCTCTAAACATAATTAATCTATCTAGATCATGAACCAAACTCTCGTCGTCGTCGTCATTATTTATTTTATTTTATTTGAATTATTACGACTTTTTTCGTGCAGTCTTTTATTCTAAGATTCGCTATTAATCATTTTTTTTCCCGTAGTAACCAATAATTATATATAATAAATATAATCACATACCAGGCGATGTCCCGGGAGACGTACTAGGAGAAGTGGAGACTGCATGAAAGGAAGGGAAAAACACTATCAATAAAATAACCAAATTTAAAGCACATATTTTGCAGAAATCATTGGGCAGATAAATTATTGCGTATCAGCGTAACAAATTGTTTATATTAAAATTGATGATCAAATATAAAGATCGAAAGAGAGACGCACCGTTGCAATTAAGTGGAGGAGCTTTGATGCCACAAGCAGAAGGCAAAGCTCTAGCACTAGTAATATTAACTTCAATACCCAAACTGGCACTGCTCTTTAGTGCTACACATATGCAATCAGAATCAGTATTCAAAACTGTCTCGAATCCAGAGCAACAAGATTTATCAGGCTTATCTTCGCCACCATCAATGCTCAAATACGCAATGCAATCCGCCATATCGTATATCAGACTCATGCAATCCACCGTAGGTGCGCCTATAGAGCTAGGAGCCTCTGCAGGTGATTGTACGGGTGCAGTGATATGAACATGACGACGGCCCGAGACTACTACCGCCCATGTTGCCAAAATACAAGAGAATATCGAGAAAATTTTCACCATTTTTTCTTGCTCACTAGCGTAACTGTTTATAATATTGAATTGATTTGCAGTTTTTTTTTAATATATATCCATAAAATCCCTAAAATATCTCAATAAATTTGGATGTGATTAACTGTGTTTTAAATTCCTAGGTTATTGACAAATGGAAGAGTTCTGTTGATAATGCACTTCTATAATATCTCAAGATTAGTTTAAGGTTGTTTATGAGGATGTGGTATATATTTGAATGTAATTAACTGCATTTTAATCTACTAATTTATTGACAAATGGAAGAGTTATATTGCTAATCCACTTCTAATTATTAAAGGATCTGATAGCTTAGATTTTGATTAGTGTCATGCACACAGCACAATCAACTATAAAGTGGTATTCTTTTAAAATGTATAACTAGACGTATTTAAAGAATTTTAAAAATTGAGTATTTTTCAGGGTGTGTTTGATAGATATTATTGAGGAAAGAATGTATTTTAAATAGTGATATGATGGGAAATATGTGGTTAAATTTAAGGAAAAGTTATTGATGTGATGAAAAATATTATTTTATTAAAGAATATGTGGTTGAAAATGAGTTTTGAAATAATGTATTTTGAAAGAATGTGTATCAAACAGTGCCTCAATTTTTAGAAAAAATTTAAGGTGTACGGTATAATTATTTCAACTAAAAAACTCCAAATTGGGCCACCTTGGGCTATGAATTAATCATTTACTAGTAGGGAAGAATTTATAAATTAGGGTTTAAGTTTCAACAATTCAAAATTCAGGTCTTAAATTTATAAAATACAAAAATCAGGTATTTAACTAATTAATTAAAAATATTTATTATTTAATTATAATAAATTCAATATATTAATTTATTAAATATATATTTTACCAATTAAATATAGTAAGGACACAATTATATGCAATTTGATCACAATTATCTAATAAATTAATCAAAAATTAATTTTCGGTTACAATTTATCAAATTATGGGTCACAATTTTTTATCGGTCACAAATCAAAAATTTTATAAGTCACATATTACTTTTCAAACACGAATCAAAATTTCATACGTCACATATTATTCATCTGTCACTAATCGAAAATTTTATGGTCGTAACTCATTTATTCATTGCAAATCGATCACAACTTATCAAATTATTGGTTAGACTTATTTTTTGGTCACAAATCAAGAATTTTATATGTCACATGTTATTTCTCGATCACGAATCGAAAATTTTGTAAGTCACAAATTATTTATTGATTACAAGATCAAAATTTTTATTGGTCACAACTTAATAAATTGTGAGTCAATTTCACAATTTTTAAGTCACACATTATTTATTTATAAAAAATTAATCAATTTTTTATCACAATCAACCAAATAATTAGTCACAAACACCTACCCATGACCATCGCCACGACGACCACTACCACACACAGCACCGCCGTCAAACATCACCACTGCACAACACTTGCAACCACCACCTCAACACTGCCTCCAACAACACCACCGGCAACGCGCCACCAGAACCACTACCACCACCACCACTTCACCTCCACATCACAGCCACCAAATCTCGATCAACCATCAAGCATCCAGATCCACCACCTCACCTCCATAGCACAGCCACCAAATCAAGACGCAAAGCACACCATCGCCACGGCCAAATCCATTACCACCAACTCTAGATCCACTGGTGATTCGGGGAGATTTTCTTTGCTTCGCAAGGTAGCCAGAGCTAGCCAGTTTTTCATTAAAAAAGCATGAAAGTCTGTGGTGCAAGAAGAAGAAGACGATACTGCCAAAAAATTTCGAATCTCCGCGCGATAGTTAAGACAGGGCTGCGCATGATGGCACTCAGTTCACCAGATGCCGCTTTCGCCGATGAAGAGGATGCCACCGTGAAGAGGAAGAGAGGGAGTGAAAGATGAGAAAGACGCGTGAGAGAGAGACGCGTGAAGATGAGAGAGAAAAGGAGAGAGACAGGTGAAGATGAGGATGAGAGAGTGTGTGATTTAGGTTAATATAATTAATAATTCAATTAAGATCTAATTTTTGATTAAATAAACTTCACACCTGAGTTTTGAATTTGAAAACTTAAATGCATGGTTTTTTGTAATTTCCTCTTACTAGTATGTATCTTCATGGGTAGAGTGCCGCTATTTATAGATGGATAAAGATATTTGTACATAAAAAAATCTACAAAATTGTTTACCCCCTCTCGCACGCACACCGGCCCCACGTGAATAAATGTGGTCCCCACCCCCCTATTGTGAGTAGTCGGTAAGGGATTTGGTAAAAAAATTCGATAAATATAGCATAGTCCATTCATAGATTTTGAAATGTAGCTAGAAATTAACACATTATATATAAAAATATTCTATGAAGCTTGAATAATTAATCTAATATTAATATTATTGAAACACTCCCTTTGTTTTAAATTCGAGAAAAAAACAAATAGATAATTAAATTTAATGCGATCCACTATGATAAATAATTATGTCGTTAATCAAGAATATTCTCGTACAATTTTTTTTGTATAAATTTTATACTAGTCCCAAGTTTACCTTCTATGTTCAATTCTGATTTTGTCATGTTAGTCTTATATACGGATATTTTGAGTACCCCCAATGTATTATTTGGAGTAAATTAACTACCAAGAATTCAAATGAAAAACAATGCCTATTTTATATATCTCAAATCAAATATTTGACGGGGATTTTACAATTATCTAACCACTTTATTGAAAAAAAAAGATTTTGAAATTACTGAAGATTTTATCGGAAGGTAAAATTTGATCCTTAACATAACTTAATACGATGAAGAAAAGCTTAACGAACTATACCAACTTTAATAATCAACCTCTTTCTAATTATAATTTACATATCATCGCAGATTGAAAAATTAAGCATTTTCAATAAAATCTTAACTCGTCTACATTTTCTAAATTATATCGAGAACGATAGACTAAAAAAAAAAAAAAAAA